TCCAAGAGTTTGTAAGCATCCAATTTAGGAATTTGATATAAGTGTATAATGTAGATATATATGTGTACCCGATAGTCATAGCCCAGATATGYTGAAATATCTGCKAAGAGWAAATTAAYGCCCCCGGATTCTTCGATGTAGCTACCAAAGTCAGTAATACCAACATTTTGGACTAAGGATGCTTCAACGTCAACGAGAGCCGGGACAAAAAATCCGTTGAGGGGGTTATCCGACATGTTCTTACCAACTAAAGGTTGGTCAAGCACRACTTTGATCTTAAGTGCTTCGAGTTGCTCTCTTGGTCCTATGCCACTCAACATCAAAAGTTGTGGGCTACCAAGAGCTCCTGCAGACAATATGATTTCATCACTCTCTCCGCCATTTAGAAATGCCCWATGCATATTCCCAAATTTATCCTCAAAGGCAACTCCAAAAGCCACTGGGGTTGATTCTCCTGCTGTAAATAGTAAAAATAACAAGTAAGCTCTAGTAATAAATTAACAACTTTGGCAYGCATAACATGTAGTGTACCACTAAAAGAAATTGGGTTTATATTTTATGTCCAAGTGTCATAATAAACYATTTTGTAGGATAAATAATTGCATATCCTACTTAAAGATGTTGTAATAGGTTTATGAYGYTTTTAAACATTATTAAACTAAAGTTTTTYAGGACAATTTTGAAACAAAGTTTCATATTAGCCTTTTTATAAAAAAAWTGTCATATAAAAAWATGTTTATAAATWGTCCRGTAAAAATTGCTAATAGGATAYTTTGTTTCAAAAGTGTTCTAAATATCTTGTTAAGATACCTAAAATCGTTTAATAAATTTATTACACCACTTTAGATAAGATATACAATTGTTTGGTCCTATAAACTTAAGTCATATAAAATAGTCTATTATTACACTTTAAACACTTTTGACATTCTATAAACTCAAATTTTGTTGTTATGTACCTATATATGTGTGTCTATATATATATATATATATAAAGGAGGTTTCAGGTACAACTTATACAATTGTTACAAACTAAACATCTAAATCAATTGATATCTTTATGGAAAGGATGTGGCTATATTTATTATGATTTCAATATTTATGGAAAATGATTAAAATTTATTAATTATGATATATGCTTTATATTAGAAAAAAATCAAGATATTTACGAGACCTCATATTCACTTAAATTAAACGGATGATTTAGATTGAGTTTTAATGGCTTTAATGGGTCGGGTTGTAGTGTAGTGCGGTTCTGAATCTAGAACTCGAATCTTTAATCATCATTCATACTTTGTTCTGTTGATTATCTTTCTCGATTTTATTTACAAATTTAAGACAGCTATAAACTGGTTGGTTATTATTTTATCTTAAAATATATTAATATGAGTTTCAAAGTAGAGATTATAAAATTCCGATTTCCTAGTATAATTTATTTGATTCAAAGTTTTATTATAATTTAGATTTAAAATAAAAAATATATTTATTTTAGTTCAAATATGATTTTTTTATAGTAATAATGATATAGTATTTTGTTAGGGTTCAAAAGATTGTTTCATAAATAATAATTATATTTAAGATATTATATATTTAAATTTACAGACATAATATACTTTAATAAAAATAAATAAAAAAAAAGGTATTTTATCTTATATTTTCTTGTGTTTAATAATTAGTTATATGAATGGTTTTAAAATTTTAGAAAAAAAAAAATAACTGTTTCATCTTGTAATGTTTATCTCGTATAATTTTAAAATTTTAAATAATAATATATAAGTGATACTAAATACTTAAGAAGTAGTTTTTAAGAGGGTGTTTGAGGTTACTTATTTAAAACAATTTATGTTTTTTTTWAMMAAARKCCYTWWKRAMYTWWTWWWARKTWAAARRRKTKWAWTTYYTYWAAAAMYTTTTWWTWMCMRKTT